GCTTTAGGGTGTAAAGCAGCCATCCACCAATCTGAGGGATCCTCGGATTTCATTACATGTAACTTGTTAGACACTTTTATCCAAAGCGACTTACATACTCAATACTGTGGGCAATCCCCACAGGAGCAATTTGGGGTGAAGTGTCTTGCCCAGGGACACAACGAGGTGCTGACTACAGTGGGGTTTGAACCTGTGACCCCCTGATCTAAACACCAATGCACTACCCACTGCACCACACGCCTCGGATCCCAAGCCCTTGCATTTTAAGTATGAAAACGTCAATATTTAAAATACTTAAACCCAAATCTCCCCCTATGGCCACGGCCACGATGTGATGAAAGTGTGAATGTTATAGTCTCCCTGAGCACCTTGTATGCAGGGCCGGCCCTGATCAATTTGCTGCCCTAGGCAAGATTTTAGCTGGCGCCCCGCCCCCCCCCAAAATGCAGACACTCACTATGACTCGCGCATGCATGCAGGGTTGTGGCATGACCACAAAAACAGAAAGATATGGACACAAGATGTGTGCAAATGTATTTAGTATCCTATCCATTTGAACATGATTTAAGTGGGGGGTGGACCTAACGTCCTCTAGGGGGGTCCTCTAGCATGCTCCCCAGGGAAGTTTTTCTTTTTTAATATTGAAGTTAAAAGCATCAATCTGGTGCACTTTGAGAGCAAAATTAAGAGATCTATGGATACATCTCTCAACATCCATATGAAACAGAACTGTAAACAGATTTACTTTTTCTTTAAGGATATTTTACAAATCACTCCCCTTTTAAACTGTATTCTTGTTTATTAATAACAACTTTTTTTTACTGTCATATAGTATTTTATACTATAAGAAAATAGATGAAAATCTATTCTCTTATTTTTTTATAACTATAATGATCATATAAAGGTGTGCCTTTACCTCACTGAGCTGAGGTTATCAGAGCCACTCAGTCTTTCAGGAGAGAGCTCTCGAAAGCTCTCCCCCCGCGGCCGCTTACACAGTAAATTCCAATGTTAAGGCAAGGCAAGGCAAGGCAAGTTTATTTATATAGCACTTTTCAACACAAGGCAATTCAAAGTGCTTTACAAAAAATGAAAGACATTAAGAAAATGGCATTTAAAATCAGTCATTAAAAAGAAAAGCTAATAAAATAAACATTAAAAGAAAAAATACATGGATAAAAGTTACAGTGCAGTCTAAGATATAAATAGTTCAATTAAACATTAAAAGAAAAAGTACATGGATAAAAGTTACAGTGCAGTCTAAGATATGAATAGTTCAATTAAAAGCAGCGACAAAAAGAAAAGTCTTCAGCCTGGATTTAAAAGTAGTCAGAGTTGCAGCGGACCTGCAGGTTTCTGGGAGTTTGTTCCAGATATTTGGAGCATAATAACTGAACGCTGCTTCTCCATGTTTAGTTCTGACTCTGGGGACAGAAAGCTGACCAGTCCCTGAAGACCTGAGAGATCTGGATGGTTCATAATTTAGCAGGAGGTCAGAAATGTATTTTGGGCCTAAACCATTCAGTGCTTTATAAACCAGCAGCAGTATTTTGAAATCTATTCTTTGACACACAGGAAGCCAGTGTAAAGACTTCAGAACAGGAGTGATGTGATCCACTTTCTTGGTGTTAGTGAGGACTCGAGCAGCGGCGTTCTGAATCAGCTGCAGCTTCCTAATAGATTTTTTAGTGAGACCTGTGAAGACACCATTGCAGTAGTCGAGTCTACTGAAGATAAAAGCATGGACAAGTTTTTCCAAATCCTGCTGTGACATTAGTCTTTTAATCCTAGATATGTTCTTTAGGTGATAGTAGGCTGATTTAGTAACTGTTTTAATGTGACTGTTGAAACTCAGGTCAGAGTCCATGACTACACCTAGATTTCTGGCTTTATCTGTTGTTTTGAACATTGCAGACTGAAGCTCAGTGCTAACTTTGATACGTTCTGACTTGGCTCCAAAAACCATTACCTCAGTTTTATCTTTATCTTGGAGAAAGTTCTGACACATCCAGTCATTGATTTGTTTAATGCACTTACTCAGTGTTTGAATTGGAGCATAGTCTCCTGGTGAAATTGTTACGTAAATTTGTGTGTCATCCGCATAGCTATGGTAACTTATTTTGTTGTTTTTCATTATCTGAGCCAGTGGTAGCATGTAGATGTTAAAGAGAAGAGGCCCCAAGATGGAGCCTTGAGGAACCCCACATGTCATATTTGTCAACTCAGATGTGTATTTACCTATAGAAACAAAGTTGTTTCTGTCCTTTAAGTAAGATTCAAACCAATTTAGAACTGTTTCCAAAAGTCCCACCCAGTTTTCCAGTCGGTCTAGTAATATGCTGTGGTCAACAGTGTCAAACGCAGCACTGAGATCTAATAATACTAACACTGAAGTTCTGCTACTGTCTGTGTTTAAGTGGATGTCATTAAAGACCTTTACAAGAGCAGTCTCAGTTCTGTGGTTTGGACGAAAGCCTGACTGGAACACATCAAAACAGTTATTTAAATGCAAGAAATTACTCAACTGTTGAAAAACAACTTTTTCAATGATTTTACCTAGAAATGGGAGGTTTGATATGGGCCTGTAATTTTTCATTACTGAAGCATTTAGATTATTCTTTTTTAAGAGCGGTTTAATGACTGCAGTTTTCAGGGCCTGTGGAAAAATACCTGAGTGAAGAGATTTGTTTACTATATGAAGTAGATCTGAGGCCATGCAAGGCAAAACATCTTTGAAAAATCCTGTTGGAATAATATCAAGGCAGCAGGAGGAGGATTTCAGAAGTTGTATAATGTCCTCTAGGTTTTTATCATTAATCTGATGGAATTGTGTCATGATGTCTGAATTGATGTTAAGTGGACACAGAGACAACACATTTGCTGTTCCTGATGCAGAGGCACTTTGTCTGGCTTGTCTGATTTTCTGAATTTTGTCAGTGAAAAAGGAGGCAAAATCATTGCACGCCCTGGTGGATAGAAATTCAGAGGCTACTGACACTGGGGGGTTAGTTAGTCTGTCGACGGTAGCAAACAAGGCACGTGCGTTGTTTTTGTTTTTGGTAATGATGTCAGAGAAGAACGATTGTCGTGCGTTTTTCAATTCCAAATTATAAAGGCCAAGTCTCTCTTTATAGATTTCAAAGTGAACCTGGAGTTTTGTTTTTCGCCACCTGCGTTCAGCTTTTCGACATTCTCTTTTTTCTGTTTTCACGGTCATGGCCTTTCTCCATGGAGATATTTTCTTGCCAGACACTTCCTTTACCTTAGTTGGAGCAATGGCATCTATAACATTTTTAATTTTTGAATTAAAATGATCTACTAGCTCATTTACTGAGATGTTAGCAGGGGCAAGTGTGGAAGAAAAATTCTGAGTAAACATTTCCCTAGTGTTTTCAGTTAAATATCGCTTTGTGGTTACCTCTTTTTGAACATTTTTGTGAACAGAAATAGAGCTCTCAAAGAAAACACAGGAATGGTCAGAGAGTGCAACATCAGTCACCACAACCTTAGAGATATTCAGACCCTTTTAGATAATTAAGTCCAGAGTGTGCCCCTTATTGTGCGTGGGCTCCGTCACATGCTGAGTCAGTCCATAGCTATCAAGAACACACAACAGTTCTTTAGCCCCTCTGTCCTGGGGGTTGTCAACATGGATGTTAAAATCACCAACAATGACTAGACGGTCAAAGTCAATACACACTATAGACAGCAGTTCAGTAAAGTCATCAAAAAAGCTTGCACAGTATTTGGGTGGTCTATAGATATTTAGGAACAGAGCTCGAGAGGAGCATTTCAGCTAAAGGGCCACATATTCAAAAGAATCAAAGTTTCCATATGATGTCTTCCTGCATTGAAGGGAATAATTGAACAGAATAGCAACTCCACCCCCTTTCTTATGCATTCTTTCCTGACTCATAAAACTAAAGTTGGGAGGGGTTGATTCGATAAGAACAGCTGCACTGTTATTTTGTTCAATCCAAGTTTCTGTTAAAAACATAAAATCGAGATTGTGCTCAGTGATAAAATCATTGACTAAAAATGTTTTTCCTGCCAAAGACCTGACATTTAATAAAGCTAGTTTAAGTTTGTTAAACACACTATCAGTCATGTTTTTTGTAACAAGCTGTGGCTGACATGGAATCAATGCTAAATTAGATACACTCACACAAACGTTTGAGCGCTTCCTGTTTCTAAGATGATTAGTAAAATTAATAAGTTAATAAAAGCTGTATACGTTTTTTGGGAGTTTGATTTATTTAAAATTAACACAAATACAAAATTAAAACCTATAATTGCACACTAAAACCATTATTTCAAAAAAAGAACTATTTCACATAAACCTCTGTTTTTTACTGGGGCTGGGGCAGTTCAACTTGATTTTTTTTGGGGGGGGGGGGGTGCGTCATAGTTTATGGGCGGTGTAGGCATAGTTCTAGTTAATAAGATGTACTTTGTTGATCCAAAATCGGGAAATTGAGTTGTTATGAAATTAAAAAAAAATTAATTTTTTTCGGCGCCCCCCATTGATTGATGCCCCCTTAGCATTCGCCTGTACTGCCTATGCCAAGGGCCGGCCCTGCTTGTATGGCATGGGTGTGAATGTGTGAATGCTGACTTATAGTAAAAGCACTTAACATTTACCATGACCTGCTACAGTATGCTTAGTGAAGATCATGAGCTGTAACCACCCCCCAGAGAGTTACACTTGAATACCTTTTTGAAGAGACGACTTGTAGTTTAAGATCCAACGCACTGGAGTCCATCCTCCCCCCCTCCTCCTCTTCCTCTTCCTCCTCTCCATCTCCCTCCCTCCACTTGTCAGAGTCTCTGCATACTGCGCTGCAGAGTTCATGTCCGAGCGGAAACACACGGTGCGGACCGCAAACCGAGGAGGATGACAGAGAGCAGAGGAGGGGAGTTGTGTTTTAGCGAGGGGACTACTGGGACTACTTCATTTAAAGGTAGGGCTACTCCAAAAAACTCACTTTGTTTGATGCAGGCTGCGTGCCGTGTACTGGAAATAGCTTAAGTGCAATCGGCACCAAGAGTAGTTTAGAGTTGATTACTACACAGTCAACACTAATCCAGTCTATTGGCTGTCTACGCGCTAATTGTCGCTTCATCTCCTATGGAAATAACTTCTGAATGCCCACGTGTTTACATCGCTGTGCAGTCTCTTGGTTAAATGGTGAGTTTATCTTTGTGTTGGACATTTAAATGTGCAATTTACTCAGGACTTTATCACCGTTATAAAATCCCAGGGGTTAAAGTGACTGCATTCAGTACAACTGTGTGGTACTGAAGTAAATAATGTTACGTTATGCATTACGTTGAACAATTCAAAGTGCAATTGATATTTTTAACTCCAACCAACTACCAAATGTACTTTATAAATTGAGTAATTTTGTGATTCTTATAAAAGATTATCAACGTAGAAGATATTTTATATTATTATTATTTATATTTATATTTTCTGATTATAATGTCACATTAACGAGCTTTAACATTAACATTCCATCAATCTATCAAATTATAGATTATAATACAATAATATCTTGTAAAATGGGGCATTCTGCAAATTGAACATTTCTACTTGTATACTTAGTAACATGTTAAAATGTGTACAAATGTTAATGCGGAACTCTAGAATACTTTCAACATCTTGTCTTGAAAAACGTATCTGAATACTAATGAGCTGCATTATCAGCATCAAAAACCAGCTGTCTCAGCTCTCAAGGAAAGATAATCTTGCAGGTGCATCTGTGCATTATTCTTCAGTACTTTACTTACTTAATTATCTGAATCCTTACAAGATATAAAAAACAACTGCCTGACAACTTTTCCAAATTGCATTCAATACACACATAAATATTTACAGCTATCATATTTTTTTGATGAGTCCTTGCATTATGTCACTTTATGTTACGTCCTCTTCTGCAGAGTTACTTCCTGTTGGCTCTTGGTGTTTTAAGGTCACGTTTTAAATAGAATGTGCAATTTGAATATTAACTATAGTGCTGTATTATAAGCCATATGTTACTGTGCAATAACACAAGCTGCAGCTACTGAGTGATGTTGTGAGACGTTAGGTGGAAACAATCAAAATCAATTGGTCACTGTGCTCACAGAACAACTGTGCGATGGGGTTGTGCTAGATCTAATATCAGAAACGATTTTGGGGGGGTTAGCATGGTTAGAGAGACTATCCTTTATCTGTCCAAACATCTGGACTCTCTGTCTGAAGGGCCTCCATTGGACTCCTTTGTTTACTTCAGGAACATAATGAAATCACTATGTAACATTCACACTTCTATTGGCTAGCACTCCAACACATTGTAGTGATAGGCTGAGGTGCAGGATATCTCTAAGTGGTTGACCAATCACAACAGAGCCGGCCAGCTAACCAATCAGAGCAGACTGGGCTCTGGTTTCAGACAGAGGGTGAAAAGAGGTGCTGCAGCAGCATGAGAAAACAAAAGCTTTTTGAACATTGAAGCATGGAGACATGTCCCAGTAGAGGCACAACATACTGATATACACCTGAACATCAGCAGGAGAGGACTCTTTAAAGTAGAGACACTACATACTGATATACACCTGAACATCAGCAGGAGAGGACTCTTTAAAGTAGAGACACTACATACTGATATACACCTGAACATCAGCAGGAGAGGACTCTTTAAAGTAGAGACACTACATACTGATATACACCTGAACATCAGCAGGAGAGGACTCTTTAAAGTAGAGACACTACATACTGATATACACCTGAACATCAGCAGGAGAGGACTCTTTAAAGTAGAGACACTACATACTGATATACACCTGAACATCAGCAGGAGAGGACTCTTTAAAGTAGAGACACTACATACTGATATACACCTGAACATCAGCAGGAGAGGACTCTCTAAAGTAGAGACACTACATACTGATATACACCTGAACATCAGCAGGAGAGGACTCTCTAAAGTAGAGACACTAAGTACAAATATGGACCTGAGAAGGAGCACACATCATAATGAGCTAAAGTGATCGTGAGAGAGAAGATGGAAAATATAAGGTCATGGAGTGTACCCTGCAGCACTTACATGTACACAGACTTTCTAAACAAGACTTTAATGGAAACTTTAACTGTGCCTCTCTGTTTATATTTGCTAGGTGGAAGTTTGGAGAGGCAACAGTTCTTATGCCTTTTGTTCAGCGTGGCTTTTGAAGTGAGCATGTTTGCACTTCACTGTCGCTTGGCCTCATTTCCCTTTTGAACACACATTAAACAAAAAATAGTTAATAATGGCCAGGGCCCAGCCTGGTATTGTGTGTTGTTGTAATGATTTCTTTGTGCTGTATAAGGAGTCATTGAACCAGTTGAAGAGGTCAGTCTTATCTCAAACATTTCTTCTATCAGTTATTTTGTTGACTCGGTTGTGCATTAAGGAAAGTGTGAGAGGGAGTAACAGGAAGTTCACATGTGAGTCACACTGTATCATTTATAACTTATCACACATATCACACCCTGATACTGTCACACAACAAGCACATGTCATAGGAATATGCAAAAATGTGTTGTTTTTTCCTGTCATGAAGAGATAAGGCAACGAAAGTTTATCTATATAGCACATTTGAACAAGTCGATTCAAAGTTCTTTAAAAAACACATTAAAAGCATCAAAGAAAGCATTTTGAGTATCTTTGTGGTTGTTTTGTCCCTTTTTCATAGCCGTTGTAAATCTTTGTGCGGTCTATTTATGTGTATTTGCAGTTCATTTTGTGTTTCTTTGTAGTCCATTTATGTGTCTTCGTGGTTGTTTTGCCCCTATTCACGGCCATTTTGAGTCTTTGTGTGGTCTCTTGGCAGTGGTTTTATGTTTCTTTGTAGTCATTTTCAGTATCTTCTTGATTGTGTGTCTCTTTGAGTGACAGGTGAATGTCAGGGGGGCCTAAACACACTTAGCCTAGGCCCGGTATCCCCGTTAAGTAACATGTGTGCTCTAATCTTAATCAGATATAAATCAATAAACAAACAAATATCAGTCAGATATAACACTTCCCGATCAGATATCATTACATTCACATCTCTTGACAGTTAGCTGTGATTGCAGCCAGATAACATACAGAGTAAGACATTTAAATGTATGCAGTGCGAAGACACACAAGCAGGATGGTGTGTGTTGCCACGTCGCAGCAGTAAATCCTGAGTGAATGCCGTGTTTTGGAGCCAGTGTAATGGTCAGGCTGTTCTGACCTCAACCACCGTGAGCTGCTTCCGTGCTGAGAAAGGTCCTCCGGTCCAGCAGAGGAAGAACCTCAGAGCTGACCCACTGTGACAATGTGTGTGTGTGTGTGTGTGTGTGTGTGTGTGTGTGTGTGTGTGTGTGCGCGTGCGTGCGTGTTTGCGTGCGTGCGTGACTGTGCAGAAGCTTATGCAACAATGTGACTCCATGTAATTGTAGCTGAATGTGTTTTTTCCTGTCCTTGTCAGTGTCCATATGAAATACAGTAAAGTCACCATGAATATACCAGGATGACCTCCATGTATGAAGTCAAGCAAAAGACACATTGCTATTTTATTCTTGTGGGGCTTCATATGACAAAAGCATTTAGCTGTCCTGAATATGCAGGCAGAAGGTGACATTTATAGTGGTGGAAGTAGTATTCAGATCTTTAACTTCGAGGGGGCCTTTAATGCTCATCTTCAGGTTCATATCAGTATGTAGTGTCTCCACTGCGACATGTCTCCATGCTTTAATGTTCAAAAAGCTCTTTATTGTTCTCATACTGCCTGTGCTGCAGCACCTCTTTTCCCCCTCTGTCTGAAACCAGAGCCCAGTCTGCTCTGATTGGTTAGCTGGCCGGCTCTGTTGTGATTGGTCAACCGCTTAGAGATGTCCCGCCCCTTAGACTATCACGTACAATGTGTTGGAGCAATAGCCAATAGAAGCGTGAGTGTTACTTAGTGATGTCACTATGTTCCTGAAGTAAACAAAGGAGTCCATTTGAGGCGTTTAGGTGGAGGAGGACCATTTACATGCACAAAAACAATATAACACACTACAGGAAAGAGAAAAAGCATATATAGGGCCCCTTTAAGTACATTACTTGAGTACATGTAGTTTGGTAAGGAACTGAGACCATGTTCAAGCGAACAAACAAATCTTTGAATGCTGCCTCAAATGTCGTCCGAACCCAGCTCTGCGATTTGTGGCTCTGTGGCTCCAGATGTTTCATTTACACACTAAATCTGCTCGCACCAAGCTTGAGTGACAGAGACAGAGTATGAGTGTGTGTTTGTGAAATAGGGAAAAGAAGGGACCTAAAAAAAAACAGGATGATTTATTGAAGGAAGAGCTGAAAATAGACGACAGGGAGAAAAACACACATAAAACCAGGAGGTAAAATGTGTTTCTCATCAGCGTCCTTAGATCCTTTTTATTTGATGGCCATAATAGACGGCGTCAGGTTGGCTCTCCTCGTTGCAATCTGTTCCCATTTTACTTTTTAACCCCCCTTTGGTCGGTCTGCAGGCATGTCACGCAGTAAGGGTTTGTTTATGGATGTCTGCAGGTACAATTAACGTCTAAATAACACGTTTAGCAGCCTCTAAGTGGTGTCTAAATCGCACTAATTTCTCTCAATGAACTTCCCAAATTACATTTCTGTGCTGCTTTTTACACTTAATTTGAGTTGAGCTGCGTTTATTGCTCACAAAACCATGAAGGAAACCGTATAAAAGGCTGATATGAGAGTAAAAGAAATGGGCAGCTATAAAAGCAGGAGGAAACACGTTAATTACCCAATGAAAAGCTGGGAATTTAACGTGAGAACGCTGAAAAGCAGCAGCATAATGACAGATGAAGGAGTCTAGTTAGGGATTTTGGGGTGAAAATGACATCTAAAGATATTAATCAATCACTGGATTAATCTTTCTGATGAGATTGTTTCAAAGCTTGGTGTTTGGATGATCTGACAGTGCATGTTTGCGTCTCTTGCTAATGTGTATCTACCTCTTTGTGCCCCATACTAATCACTCCCTTAAACGTCTAAAATCCACCTTTCCTAAATTCTTGTTGATTAGCCACACCCTCACTTACATTTTCCCTCCTTCCTTATTGTAGCTTATTGACGCTATTGTTGAAGGCCACCCTTGAACATTTGCCCTGTTAAAAAAAGTGGGATTAGTTAAAGATTTAGGGAAGGTAATCAGTGCCCAGTAAGAGTGGCAGCCTCACTTTGATTCCTCCGACATTAATCCAACATGTCTGCAGTCTGGAGAGGTCACATGTTCCCAGCTTACCAGTGCTGGCTTTGCCTTGGAGTCATTTATTTAGTAAACAGAAATCATTTGATAAAATTGTAGACAGAAAAAAACAGACAGGCCTTTAGGGGGCCGAGGAAACACCTGATTGGATTTCTGTTGTTCAATAATCTGAGTTAGATCTTTCAGCAGCTCAGTGCAATGCTTATTTCACATTTTTCTGATATCAAATTATAATTTTTGATTTTCATTATGACATTCTATGACCAAATTGTCTCGATTCTTTTTTCATAATTAATTTTTTTGTCTTTAAAAAGGCAAAAAATAAGCCATTATTTCTCCTTTCAAGATGACAGACTGTATATTGGCCTTACATTTTTTTTTTTTTAACCAGCATTTCCAAACCAGATGAGAAAAACAGCCAATGTGTATAATATGTGCTCGAAAGAAAACTAAATGTAAATGGCAATAGAAAAGTGTTTCAACTTATTATAAGGAAATGAATGTTGACTGCATCTAAGGACTCTACAGTAAAAACACAGTCAGCTTTTTGATTGGTTCCATATACAGTCAGCTCTGAAGATAAGGGTGTCAGGAAGGGAATAATGCAAAGTGTTTGTACTGAAATGAGTGATCAATCATTTGAGTCAGACAAAGTATGTACACAAAAGACTCTTCAAAGTTCCCGTTGTACTCAGGTTTTATTTCTCAAGCTAACCAATTCCTCGGAAAGAGAAAGCAAGAGGGAAAGAGAAAGAGATTCCCAGCATCCATCAATCCAAACTCTTAGTTCCCCGACACTTTTACGTGCGCCTGAACACTCCTGCTTTCAGTGTTTGGAGCAGTGTGTAACTCACATCTCTCTCCCTTTCTTTCTGTCTGTCTCTTCTTCTAGCTGGCTGCACTGAATGAAAACACCGAAGCCCCCCTACCTGGAAACCCACCGGGGAATTAAGTGGATTGAAGAAGCAAGTGAGGGAGTCAGAGAGGGAGGGAAGACATAAGGGATTAGCAGCTAATCCAGTGCATGGACAATCCTGGATTTTCTTCTACGAGCGTGGTGCAGACAAAACAGTCCCTGGATTACGGCACTTTACATTATTGCCCTTTTTTCTCCAGAAAGCGTAACCTGGTTTTTCCTTGGCTCGGATTGCCTCTCAAAGCCCTGGGTTCTCGGGTGTAGGGACTAAAGGACGGAGGACAAAGAAGAGGGGCCCGGTGACAGGATGTCCCGTGGACAGTGTGGAGCCACACATGGATAAACCTCTTTAGGGGGAGACGGTGCATGTCAGTGGACCCCAAGATCAAGACTTTGGAGGAAGACAAGTGCAGAATCTGATGAGACACACAAGAAGATCTATTGAAGACACATCTGAAAGGACTCGCTGCAAGTAAGCTAAAGATACAGCTGCTTTGAATCTCAGCTTTTTCTTTAAAAGTGCATGATTGTAAAAGCTCTGTGTTCGTGAAATTAATCATTTTATTTCCATTCCATTTGATCCATTGGGTTTATTCCCAGTTTGAGAACAGTGCGTGTGTCTGGGATGCGTGAGTAAGGAGAGCTGACACCTCGGACTTAAACCCATTTACTAATCCTCCAACCTGAAACTTAAATAATAGTAAATAGGAGAATCCAATGGTAGAAATGTGCCCATGTTGCAAAGAAGCGGGGCCCGGTGGCAGGATTATAATGTGTTATTATTTGTTGTTTGTCATTATGTTGCCCTCTGCATGGCGTATTGGTGCAACAGGGTTTATAAGTGATCTCACCAGTACAGGTGGCAGTGATTGGGCTGAGATGAGCAAACTGTATTTGATCGTGTAGCCATGCACACACTGTTTTTGGTTAAAAGAAATGCTATCGTAAGCAATAACGTCGCCGTCATTGGAGCTAGTTTACCCCAGTTATCAATCCCTCTGTGATATTGAGTGGCAGTAGTCTGCTGGTCCAATCCCACTAGACTTGCAATGCTTTCTGGTGAGATGATCCAATTAGTGTTGCAAGTAAACAAGATGTTCTCCATCTTGAAATATATGACACTATCTTTCAAGACAATACACAAAATTACTTTTGTGTAGTTGTATAGTTTAGTTTGTTTGCAGTTGCTACGTTTTGGAAGACAATATTGTACTTTTTAAGTCTACTTTTACATGTAACACTAACAACATTTAACTCAAATAAGCCCTATTATGCATTTGGGGTTTTTCCTTTCCTGTAGTGTGTTATACTGTATAGGTTTTTTTGTGCATGTAAATGGTCTGCAAAGACTAAAATCCCAAAGTTCCTTCCAAACAGAGTTTTTCTCCCACACTCTCCCCCCCTGCCTGAAACGCCTCCATTGGATTATTTTGTTTACTTCCTGAGCATAGTGACATCACTATGTAACACTTTATTTTGGCTAGCGCTCCAACACATTGTACGTGATAGGGTAAGGGGCGGGACATCTCTAAGCTGTTGACCAATCACAATAAAGCCAGCCAGCTAACCAATCAGAGCAGACTGGCCTCTGCTTTCAGACAGAGGGTGAAAAGAGGTGCTGCAGCACAGGCAGAATGAGAAAAATAAAGAGCTTTTTGAACATTAAAGCTTGGAGACATGACACAGTAGAGACACTACATTAAAATATGAAGCTGAGAATTAGCTGGCCCCTTTAATTATTGCAACGTACAAAAGTAACAGTCCTTCCCAGAAACCAATCTTAACAAAAGTCGAGATAGCCCAAACTCTCTAACAGCATACACTTAAGTAACCAAAGGAAACCAAGTATGGCTTTATCAATTCTCCTTCTTTGTTACTTTGTCATAACTGAAAGCTGCTGTTGTGTAAAAGAAGCAAGCTGAGCGTTGAGAGAAAGAGACAGAATGAGAGAGGGGAGATGTAGAAGGAGACTTGACTGACTCTGCATGCATACTGGCATCATTCAGTGCAGATCAAAAAGAGAAACCGGGGGCAGACAGAGGATGAATGCCTGGCTCTGGCCGTGTGGAGAATGGATTATAAACACATTCTCTCCCGACTTAGCAACCACATATTTATGTTCCTCTCACTGTCCCTGCTTTTTAAAAATGTTCTCTCTTTGGTTTTTACAGTGGACCCGGGACGACTGACTTGAGCTCGGATTCAAATTAAAAGGGAAATTACGCAACTTTCTGCCACCATGAGTCTGGGAAAACTGCCAGGGATTAAGGGCCTTGTGTCCGGCTCTCAGGGGAAACGTCGCTTCAAGAGTGAACTCTGCGTGGATATGATCAGCCCGCCGATGGGCGACTTCAGACACACGATGCACGTTGGACGCGGAGGAGAAGTGTTCGGCGACACTTCCTTCCTCAGCAACTACGGAGGCCCACGTGAGCCAGGAAGTCCCGACTCGTCAACCAGCTCCAAGTCTTCTGGGTTCTTCACGCGCACTTTTCGGCACGTGAGGAAAAACTCAGTTGTGCGACCTCGAGGCAGCTCCCGTGATTTGTCGTCGCCACCACCAGATGTTTCGCCCATCATCAAGAACGCCATCTCGCTGCCCCAGCTCAACATGGACTCCTCTAACGGCTGCCACCAGAGGGTGCCGTTCCCCAGCTCCGTCAGCTCCACAGACGACTCCCTCTGCAGCACATATGGTGAGATGATGAGATTAATCACTGCCTTCATGGGTGGGGGGTTTGTGTTGAGCATCTGAGCAGCAAAATCACCTTCATTTAAATCAAGCTGAAAAAAAGTAAGGCTCTCAGAAAAGTGAAGGGGGATCACGAGTATAATCATGGTAGACAAAAGGGCATGATATTATGTCACAATAATGTGTGTGTGTGTGTGTTTACATATCCTATAGGGCTGCACGATATATCGTGTCGTGACGATAACCGCGATATGCGCATGCGCGATATTCACATCGCAGGACGAGACGATTTAAAAAATAAAAAATCTTAATTCTTGTGATATTAAGTAGGCAAATTAACTCAAACACGTCATGTTACAATTATTTTGCTGCTTGCTTCAAAAGGAAAACTTGCGCGGGCTCTCATGTCAGGGGTACTTGAGTGAGTGACAGCAAACCACCAATTAAATCTCCAAAGCCAACGGACCCGGTGATTAAAGGTCAAAACACTGAATAAAGTCGTTTCATGTGTTTCTCCAGGGCAGTTCGGCGCTGCTAACCGAGCTAGCTCAGCTTGTTGCTCTGATAACTTTAGATCCAGACGTCCGTGACTAAAATCCTTCATCCGGTTAAATATAGTTAAAAAAATACCAATCGTATAGCATTAAAGTTCAAGAAAGGATGGTTTGCGGGGGAAAAACGGTCTTTTCTTCAATTCCTGTATGTTTTCATATCGCAATATATATCGCAGGGGGGGGGGGGGGGAAATCGCAATGTCAGTTTTTTCCAATATCGTGCAGCCTTAATATCCTATTAGCATCTAACAGCAGTGAGGGCTACATGCCAGGTAACTGAAAAAGGTATACTCACAATACGAACAGGTACTTGCTGAGCATAGCTGATGTTAAGCTAAACCTATTGAAGAAGTTTGGCCAAAGAAAGAATATAATATATAAGTTAATTTAGTTTTCAGCTGGACCTGTTGCTTCAACCACGGGTAACAGGTCAAATCACACATTCATTTGGACTTGAGTAAAGTAACTCTTGGAAAACCTTTTTGATATGTTGATGTTTTATTAAATGACATTATCCAAAACAAAACACATTCCTGTTATCGCTGGCTGTCTCAAGTTACAGCACAGTATTTGCTGCAACACCATCACAAGTGGTATTATTATAGATTCTCCTTTTGTCACTGAAAACGTACCTTCAATGTACGTTTTATTGGCTTTTTTTTAACAATGTGATCGCATGATTCCTTCCGGCATTATTGCAGATCTACTGTAAGCTAGCTAGCTAACGTAGCTAACCTAGTCATTTGAACTGACAAATATACTGACAAAATACTTACAATATTATGAAACAGACTAAATGTGCCAACAGACACAGTTGGCCAACTTATTGAGCCCTGAAAGTTTTGAGCTTCTTTTTTTTGCAGCACTTTTTCTGACACATTTCTGTTACATCGTTTTATAAACTGCAGCGCGTTTCTCGTAATGTTTTGGGCCGTTGTAATACATTCTATGTTTGTTACGCGTTTGCACCTGTCGGCCACCGTACCCCACATCCCTTTAACGTGTGGCAGCATTTGTTTGTGATGTGAAATGTCAAGACACAGGAAGAGGCATTTAGTTTGAAGAATATATATTTATTTTGGTTGATTTATCTTTATGTTACAGTAAACTTAGCGGCAAAATAAGATGTCATAGTGGTAGCGGTAGACCAGCAACCAGCAACGCATTACTCACCCTGAATGAGGGAAAAAACCCAAACTGGTGGTGTGTTACAGTATGATATATCACTACAGTTCTCACTATTCACTCTGCAGCGAAGCAAACAGGACTATAAATAAAAGTCAGGGAACCCACACACACACACACACACACACACACACACACACACACACACACACACACACACACACACACACACACACACACACACACACACACTCCTCCAGGACGACCGGCAAACATGCAGGCTTCTTCTGACTCATCCACATTCACCATGGTAACACCTGTACACAATCAGGTCTACAAACACAAACACACACAGCTGGTTTGCGAGAAATAAAGACACTTAACGGGCTTTTTCCTGCCATCAGTGTGTGTGTCATTGCTCGGTCATTATATCTGCTAACCAATCAGAGTGCATCGTGCAGCAGGGTGCAGAGTGGAAATCCCCGCTCCGTCTCCAGATCCCTCACCCAGCTCATGAGGAATTCGCCCCAAAATGATTGATGTCAGAGAAGTGAAGCATGATGGGAGCTTTCTACTATCAATGGGTTTATCAGTTTGCCATTACATTACATTACATTAAGCTGACGCTTTTATCAAAAGCGACTTATAATGGCCGATTACAGGGACATTCTCCCTGGAGTAACTAAGGGCTAAGTGCCTTACTCAAGGGCACACTATAGGTGGTGTTCCTGGCGGGATTTGAACTCACAGCCTTCCGATCTTCAGCCCACCTCACTATCCATAGACCAATCACTACCCATTACGTCATTATCTTCATCCGTCTTTTGATATATTTTGTTGTTGTTTGATAAATTAGTCTGTCACATATGTTGACTTTTAATTGCTTCCCAGATGTTAGTCTTGAAAATAAATGCAAAAATTGGGAAAAATCAAGAAGTGTCGGTGTGAACAAGAGAAAAAGCCCAACTCTTCTGTAAAAGATTAAGATATATATTCTGTAACAGTTCTTAGGATTTAGCAGCCAGGTATATATAGCCTAGCACAGTTTTAACGGTATATATATATATTGCACATATAGTACATATTGGGTTGGTATTTAACAGCGAGGGGTGATATAGGTGTGTGTGTGTGTGTGTGTGTGTGTGTGTGTGTGTGTGTGTGTGTGTGTGTGTGTGTGTGAGTGCGTGTGTGTGTGTGCGTGCGTGTGTGTGTGAGTGCGTGTGTGTGTGTGTGTGTGTGTGGTGTGGGGGGGGGGGGGGGGGGGGGGGGTTCGGTTCTAATAGGGGGCTGTGCTGGTTGTATAGTCTGACCGCTGCAGGAAGGAAGGACCTGCGGTATCTCTCCGTGAGACAGCGGGGGTGCAGCAGCCTGTCTTGTTCTTCGCAGCAGCCTGTCTTGTTCTTCGCAATTTATCCTACAAAGGACCTTAAGAGGTAAAAGCTCCAGCAGGAAAAAGTCAAACATTTTAAGAATAATATTGAAATGTTGAGAAATACGCTTTAAATTAAAAAAAAAAAACACTTTTCAAAGTGTTGCTTAAGGGTCTTTGCAGGACTCTCATCCCTTATCGGAATCAGAATCAGAAAGGTATTCTTTGACTCCCATCATGAAACACTAGTAATTCCCCTCTCTTCTCTCACTGTCATCATACCACTCCCACGTCTCCTCCTGGTTTCTGCTGTCAGTCATAGTCACTGACTGTAACTTTTACTGAAACTCAGCAGTTTGAGGAGTTTCAGCCGAGTTACTGGGATGTTAGATACTGCCACCATGTGGTTCAATAATGTAATTGCCAGTAGCTCAGCTTTATGTCAATATTGTTTCCTCTTGGTCAGTTTCTTTCTAACACAAGTCTTGGGTAAAAACGTTATATTGTTTATGAAATCCAGAGAAGGATTACACTTCAGTATCTGTTTGAGCAAGCATTACAATGACAAATAATGGTAGCAAATCCTCTTGTGTCAAATCAGTTCAGAACTGAGCCATGTTGGTTTGAAAAAAGCTGTCTTTTCAGAATAAAACCCATAACTGTTTAGTGCTTATGGGTTTGGACCAGAGAAGCTTTATTTTTGAGTGCTTTGGTCATGTTAAAGGGTCTCCAACATATATTGTCTAAAGTGATTGTAATGTCTGTTTCCTTGTTTCTTCTCTTAAAGGTGGGGTAGGTAAGTACATTTATTTAAACAAATGAGAACAAGATTAATAAAGATGAAAGTATTGGCTTCTAATTCTGTCCTCGTGGTCGTTTTGTTGAGAGTTTATAGGTTTCTGGATGGAGGTTAAAACTTGGAGTAGAGCTTTACCAATAAGTTGGATATATTGGAGAAAAATCTATATTTAAATGTGGGGTAGGTAAGTTTGAGAAACCGGCTCGAGATACACTTTTTGTTATATTCCATGGAATGCTCTTAACATCCGATAGCAATGAATATCTTAAGTGCTTTGACAAAAATCTGTGGAAGCCGTACTGTAAAAAGCACGACCAATCATCTGAGCCGGCCCGGCTAAAGTAACTGGATGGCCTACCTGCCTGTCAGCCTTCCATCTGTGCACAAACTTATCTCGTGCCCTCATTGGTCATGTGCGCGTTCGTGTGTGTTGGAGGAGGGGCTCTGTAAGGAAGTGGCAGATTTTCCCCGGTTGTGTATTTTCTAATTCTAGCGCACTCGAGCTGGTTTCTCCAAAATTACATACCCCACCCTTAAATGTTTGTCGGAGGAAAAAAAACAAAATATCATCGTATAGTATCCTATATGTATTTTATATTGTATGTTATCATGTTTGTGAATTTTGACTCTGAAACATTTGCACAGTTTAAGGCTGTGTCTCAATCCTGTCAGTCCCTTATTTTCCCTTGGATGTGTTCCTTATGTTGTGTCACATTTCCAGTGGCATTTCTATATGTACAAAAGTGGTGGGGCACAAAAAACTCAGATGTCTATATAGAAGCTTCTGTAGTGAGGTTCATGGCTGGTGAGGCTCTGACTCTTCAGGTTTACAAATATTATATTTTGACCTAAATCAAAATATAATAGCTTTTTTAGTCTGATGCTTCAATTAATTTTAAACAGACAGTTCAACAGAAGGATACCCAAAAAATGTCATTTTATCATTTAAATATTGAATTGTTCTCTCTTAGTAAGATCCCATTTTCAATAAAATGGTGGTCTTACCTTAACTTGAAGATGAAGTCCATTTGCCTATCCTTCTGGACAACAATCTCTATTACTTTTTTGTAAAAGTCCTCCTTATCTTCTTGTAGTTTCAAAAGTCTATCATAAATCTAAATGATGGATTTATGATTCGAAAATTATAAAAGTAGGGTAGACATGTGGATATTATCCGGCTGAACAAAACGTACATTTATCTAACAGGTACGTTTCCCACAGATCTTATTTTGAGCTATTTTCTAAAATCCTATGGAGAAATCTCATTGCTTTTTTGTGGAGGGAAGCCATGCGCAGCTTACTTCCTGGTTTTAGGACGCGTCTCTCTCCTCCTCTTCACACACCACACTTTTCGCGGCACACATACTTACAGCCAATCAGCTCTGAATTATGTGAGATGACGTATGGTGGGGAAGGCAGCTCAGTGCCCCTATGGTCATTATTTTTTGCCACACACATTAAATAGGAAAATACTCTGAGCATGCGCAGTGTAGTTTTTACAGTCACCGTTCACTTAGACAGTGAGAGGGAGGGGCAGGATCGGGTTTTGTCCCACATGGCTCTAAACAGCTCAATAGGCACACACTGTAGACACTAATTAAAAGAACACATACTAAAACAGCAATGTACAGACAAATCAGATGATTAAACATGATCTTAAAATATATTTAATATATTTTTTAATTTATTTTTTGCATTTTGTTGTAATCATTATTTTAATACTTTCTGTTGACACTAGGTGGGGCTGTGCCCCTAATGACCAGTCGCCACTGCACATTTCTCAGATCATTGCAGTGACTTCAGTGTCTTTTCTTCTGTCTGTTTCTAGGTCTTCAGTCTGGTTTCGTCACCTTGCCTCGCCTCTCTCGCCTCGACAGACAGTTTCAGGACGGAGACGCCCGACGAGGCTCTCTCCCCGACGGAGGAGGCTTCACCCTGACTCGATCTGACTCCCTCGCCTCCTTCACCGTGGACCTCGGCCCCTCTCTAATGTCTGAGGTCCTGAGCTGGATCGACAACCCCAGCTGCTTCCAGATGTCCAATTACAGCCAGGAAGCAGACGAGGAAAAAGAAGAAGAAGAAGAGGACGAAGGCTCTTTAACACCTGTGCAAAGCCCCGAGGTGACTTCCCCAAACCCCTCCATGAGCTCCTTCAGCAGGAACATGAGCAGCAGGAGGCGCCCCAGTAGCAAATGGAGAGAGGAAGAGGAGGAGAGGAGGTCAGTGAGGACTCCAGATGTTTGTGCCGGGTCTCCTCAGAGAGTGGAGCCTGCGATGGAGGCGGAGAGGTTTCAGAAGGCGGCGGATGTTTTGTCTCGTCACTACGGTGGAGGATCCTTCACCAAGGGAACAATGAGGAGCAGCAACAACAACAACAACAACAACAACAACAACAACACCGCCGCTCCGGCCTTCTCCCAAGGACGCATAACACCAAATGATTCGTCTTCTGAAGAGGAGGAAGAGATCAAAGTTTAGATGTTCAAACTAAGGATGGGTGATATCACGATATTTCTGATCAAATACCTTGATTTTAATACAATATTGTGTGGTGGATATTGGAGCTTTCACAACATGTTAACACTATTTGTAAAAAATAACCATTTACGATTGTTTTTGACTGACATTGTAATTGCTATAAGATTCACGATATCGGAGGGATTGATCATTTTTGCATCATACTTCTCATTATCATTAAAGAGGCCCTATTATGCTTTTTGGGGTTTTCCCTTTCCTCTCTCTTGGACTCCTTTGTTATTTTCGTAACAAAGTGGCATCACTAAGTAACACTTGTGCTTGTATTGGCTAGCTCTCCAACACATTGCATGTGATAGGCTAAGGGGCGAGACATCTCTAAGTGGTTGACCAATCACAACAGAGCCGGCCAGCTAACCAATCAGAGCAGACTGGGCTCTGGTTTCAGACAGAGGGTGCATCTCACTTCGGTTAAATGGATTCCTTGCGTCCCTCACTTGCGTCGTTTCCCTGCGTTTAGTCCCTCCCACCAGGGAAGCAAGGAAACCACGAGAAGCAGGGAAATGAGTTTTAAGAGCAATGGGACGTCGTTTTCCTCCGGAGCTTCACGTGAAGCGACGTCCGTTTGTGATGACGCAGCACAGCTGATCGTCTGACAGCAGCCAGATCGGTGCATGCGCTGCATCGTCCAATCAGTGAGCGATACACAATAAGGGGGCGGGGCGAGTGTCTGAGGATTTCACCGAAGGAAGGTCTGGTAGCTCCTCGATTATCGCTCCTCCGTTATCGCTCCTCGGTCCTCCGGCACAAATAAGGCCACTGGGACGCTACTCAAGATGGCGCAGACAAATCAACTTCTGGTGATACCGAGACCGAGGAGCGAGGAAATGAAAAATAAGAGAAGTGAAACGCACCCAGAGGGTGAAAAGAGGTGCTGCAGCACAGGCAGTATGAGAAAAATGAAGAACTTTCTGAACATTTAAGCATGGAGACATATCACAGTAGAGACACAACATACTACAAATTAGCATAATAGGGCCCCTTTAATAACACATTTTTTGTTGTATCTGTAACAAACATTTGAAAGTGAGTGAAGGTTGTTCAACCTGTATTAATTATTCTTGAAAGAGTTGATTAAAACCACTGGAAAACTCTGATTTTGATACTTTTTTCATAACTGTATAAGTCATCACTACAAAACAATGTATTTTACATAAATAAGATATTAAGACTCATCAGTCTGAAGCTGAACATAAAATGTGATGAACAAAGTTTGTAACGCTTGTGATAAACCTCTGTACATTGTTAATAAATGAACTGGGTGTAACTCCACTTATCTTTTCTTGAAGGCCAGAGAATACATACAAATAAAACAATACTGTATACTGTAAATATATTATTTTAATCAGAACAATAAAACATCTCTGCTGTTCTGCAGACGAGGCTTCATTTCTTCAACAGAATCAATACTGCTTTACAAAAACAAATCTATTAGATTTCATACACTCATTTTAGATTTAGTAAATTATCTATGTTATGATTTCAACAAAACACCTACTACAATAACTGAAGACATATGCCCATGCATTACTTTAAAGTAATTAAAGGGGTGTTAATTCACAGTTAAAGTAATTTCAAACAATTCATACTATGGAGTAAAGTAATGTCAGTGTTGATTTGTTGCCTCATTTTCTGCTCATGAATGGACTGAGTCATCTTAGTGTTTCCAAACCCAGAATTCAGCTTCAACAATTCAAAGGCAAAAAACAAAAGATCCTTTGAATTCAAAGGTCCCATGTCATGGCCATTTCTACTGATCATAATTCCATTGTTGAGGTCTACTAGAATACATTTATATTGTGCAATTTTCCAAACTCACATTGGTTTCTCATACAGCATACAAAAATACAAAAAAATACAGCATGTAAAGTGTGTGTCTGTCCCGCTCCTCGCAACGTCCCGCCGAGTGTGTGAGGAAGTCCGCGGATTGGTCAAAACGTAACAGCTCCGCGGATTGGTCAATTTGGACCAATCTGCGGAGCCGTTACATTGCGTCACTATACCCAAGAAGTAAAGAATGGAAAAAGAGAAATCTCCAACGATGCGTTCTAGGGCAGCATAGACAGGTATTTTCTGTGTTAGAGTTTTACTCACTACAGCAGTGGTTCTCAAACTTTTTTTGTCAGGCCCCCCCTTTGGAGAAAAAAAAAAAGTCGGGCCCCCCCAACACAAATAGTCAGGCTCAGTGGCGGCGCCAGAGATTTATTTTGGGGGTGCTGTGGGATAGCTTGATGTTTCATAGAGGGTGCTCAAACATTTAGGGTTTCCCATTAATGTACAGGTCGCTACAGTGGAATTCTCTACTGCAACAATCCCCACGCATATACACAGTGTACCCGCGACTGTTACAATGAAGGCTCGATATCAGCTCACGGCATATTCTTTCACACACACATACGGGTATTGGGCCGAGGGCGACACCGTACTTCCGGTATCCGCCATTTCAGGCGAGGTGCAAGCAGAATATCATAGTCTATTGCCTTAATCAATATCTAGTCAACTCTAAAATACCACATATATGCAATGGCATGATAATATTGTGACAAGTGGGGTATTCACCTGGTGTTTCCAGAAATTAGACGTAGATGCAGCCAAAATCGACGAAGGCCACTTTCGAGGGTCGTTTTTCCATACATCTGCAGGCAGTCTGTAAGGGCAATCCAACAACCCACACAGCTCTAGATTACGATGGTAACGACCTAGAGCACACCCCTCAAGTCCAGAGATGTAATCCGAAGACATGCAGCGATTTCTTCGGTCGTTAATTCAGAAAAAAAACCTAGTGCGCTCTGCCTGGCTACGTTAGCTAGCTGTTTATATTTGCACCTCCAGGAAAATGGCGTATTTATATATATATATATATATGGCGCGCGTTGCATTGTGGGTAGCTCGTGACGTCACTGTGTGAAAGAATCGGTGTAAGCAGGGGTAAAGTGCTATTTTTATAGGTGGTGTGTGGACCTCACATAGGGGGTCCACACATTTTTTATATCTATAATGATCATATAAACGTGTGCCTCGGAAATAATTGTTTACATTAATGGTGACCAAAACGTTTGAGACCCACTGAGATAACACTCAGAGTCCTTTAGCTCACTGAGTCTCTCAGTCTGACAGGAGAGGACTCTCCTCCACCTTGTTGTTGAAAAAAACTCCTTATATCCGTTAGCGTAGCTCGCTAGCACCAGAAGCTAACAACGATCTCCGGTACTCTCTCTCTCGCGCACACACACACACAGAGCCGAGCTTTAATGAAACACAGAGACCCAGACGTAATAGTACTGTATCATATTATTTTCGAATCAATCATTTTATTTTTTTTAAATAAAAAATGTAATAACCATTTTTCCTCCTTGCCTCTGCACCCCCCTGGGGGGGCGCGCCCCCCACTTTGAGAACCACTGCACTACAGGGTGTACTTTGAGGGTTTGTGACTCAGCAGACCGTTTACATGCAGAAAAATCTACATAACACACAAGGGGACGGGTAATAACCAGAAAAGCATGACATGGGACCTTTAAACATTTTATTTTCATGAGCACAACGGGACATTTTCAAATAAAGATATATTTCAAATTCACATTGAAGATCTACACCCCTTAACAATATTTCTTACAATAACTGCCTCAAAGTCTCATCTTTAACCATGTGTCTTTTAGCAGATCTTGAAGGAAGTCAGTTTGAAGTCTCCTGCGATTCGGACGTAGTTGATGACGTCCACGTTCTCACGGTTTGGAAACTGCAGCTGCTGTCCGTCAGGAAGCTCCACCTCAAACATGTCTCCAGCCAGCGTCAACTCCAGCTGAAATAGAAAAGATTATAAGAAAGGAATCTGAGAAAATCTAACAACGCTCCCAAAAAAACTGAAATGGTTGATGTAATCTGGTTTAGGAAATGCACTTCAAGAGAAAACGACTCCATTGGACTCATTAATGTCACTATGTAACTCTGGCTTTTATCTATTGGCTAGCGCTCCAACACATTGTATATGATAGGCTAAGGGGCGGGACATCTCTAAGAGGTTGACCAATCACAACAGAGCCAGCCAGCTAACCAATCAGAGCAGACTGGGCTCTGGTTTCAGACAGAGGGTGAAAAGAGGTGCTGCAGCATGAGAAAAATAAAGAGCTTTTTGAACATTTAAGCATGGAGACATGTAGTAGAGACACTACATACTGATATGAACCTCAGTGTTCCTCACCTTGATCACTCTTCCCCGGTGTAGAGGGTTGTGTGTGTCCCGGACCTCATCGCCCCAAGACCCACCAGTCTTTGAGTTGCAAACAATAACGGAACCATCAGCGTCGTCATCATAACGGGGATTAAAGTGCAGCGCGATGTCGTCCGTACCACAGCCCAGCTCGATCTTGAAACTGGATGGATCAGAGATTATAAACAGAGGTTCAATATTATATAATCACAAGGCTACTTTAATAGAAATGTGGTTTAAAAAGGTGTGGAAATGTAACCTTAAAGATTAAAAGGCAAGTTTATTTATACAACACCTTTCAACACAAGACAATTCAAGGTGCTTTACAAAAATGAAAGACATTCAGACAAAGGCATTTAAAAACAGTCATTAAAAAGAAAAGATATTAAAATAAAAAAAAATAAAAAATACATGAATAAAAAGTTACAGTGCAGTTTAAGATATGAATAGTTCACACAAAAGTTCCACTTTACTGATGAACACAACGGCTCAGTTTCAATTAAAAGCAGCGACAAAAAGAAAAGTCTTCAGCCTGGATCTAAAAGTAGTCAGAGTTGCAGCGGACCGGCAGGTTTCTGGGAGTTTGTTCCAGATATTTGGAGCATAATAACTGAACGCTGCTTCTCCATGTTTAGTTCTGACTCTGGGGACAGAAAGCTGACCAGTCCCTGAAGACCTGAGAGATCTGGATGGTTCATAATTTAGCAGGAAGTCAGAAATGTATTTTGGGCCTAAACCATTCAAAGCTTTATAAACCAGCAGTAGTATTTTGAAATCTATTCTTTGACACACAGGAAGCCAGTGTAAAGACTTCAGAACTGGAGTGATGTGATCCACTTTCTTAGTGTTAGTGAGGACTCGAGCAGCGGCGTTCTGAATCAGCTGGAGCTTTCTAATGGATTTTTTAGTGAGACCTGTAAAGACACCATTACAGTAGTCGAGTCTACTGAAGATAAAAGCATGGACAAGTTTTTCCAAATCCTGCTGTGACATTAGTCTTTTAATCCTAGATATATTCTTTAGGTGATAGTAGGCTGATTTAGTAATTGTTTTAATGTGACTGTTGAAACTCAGGTCAGAGTCCATGACTACACCTAGATTTCTGGCTTTATCTGTTGTTTTGAACATTGCACTTTTATACGTTCGGCCTTGGCTCCAAAAACCATTTCCTCAGTTTTATCTTTGTTTAATTAGAGAAAGTTCTGACACATCCAGTCATTGATTTGTTCAATGCACTTACTCAGTGTTTTAACTGGAGCATAGTCTCCTGGTGAAATGGTTATGTAAATGTGTGTGTCATCTGCATAGCTATGGTAACTTATTTTGTTGTTTTTCATTATCTGAGCCAGTGGTAGCATGTAGATGTTAAAGAGAAGAGGCCCCAAGAAGGAGCCTTGAGGAACCCCACATGTCATATTTGTCAACTCAGATTTGTATTTACCTATAGAAACAAAGTTGTTTCTGTCCTTTAAGTAGGATTCAAACCAATTTAGAACTGTTGATGAAAGTCCCACCCAGTTTTCCAGTCGGTCTAGTAATATGTTGTGGTCAACAGTGTCAAACGCAGCACTGAGATCTAATAATACTAACACTGAAGTTCTGCCACTGTCAGATTTCAAAGTGCACCTGGAGATTTGTTTATCGCCACCTGCGTTCAGCATTTTCTTCCCAGTCACTTCCTTTACCTTAGTTGGAGCAATGGCATCTATAACATTTTTAATTTTTGAATTAAAATGATCTACTAGCTCATTTACTGCGATGTTAGCAGGGGCAAGTGTGGAAGAATAATTCTGAGTAAACATTTCCCTCGTATTTTCAGTTAAATATCGCTTTGTGGTTACCTCTTTTTGAACATTTTTGTGAACAGAAATAGAGCTCTCAAAGAAAACACAGGAATGGTCAGAGAGTGCAACATCAGTCACCAGTAAGAAGTATTGTAATACTAAACAGATGTTTTAGTATAGTATCAAATGTTTTATAACACTGCAAGATAAGGGTTTTAGGAAAATAACAAAACTGACCTGAAGTTAACAGGAAGAAAAAAAACGTACTTACAAAAGTATTTTTTTCCCACACTCATAAGGTGATAAAAACAACAACCGTACAACATCCAGTACCCCTTTAAAATGTCCTATGTCACTCAGTCTAGGGCGCTGACTTGTAGGATGAGCCATACTTGCAAGAATTTAAGATCCTTAATAGGATTACGAAACAAATATTTTGTGCATTTATTGTTCACCCATCATTCTCTTAAGTTGCAACAAAACAACTTATTCAAGTTTTAAAAGTATTTTCTTTCCAGAATGCATTTATTAATGCATATGACCATATTATCATATTTAGTTTAAAATGTTGTACTAAATATGTTTTGTGTGTTTGGTTTGCTTACCTCTCGGCATCATGCTGAATGATCCCCTTCACTTTCAGCCTGTCTCCGTCCATCAGACTCAGATGCTTCATTTCAAGTAGCTGAGAAACACAGAGATTAAAGTTTTAAACAATTTATTGGGAACATTACAGAAGGCTGTTTGTCATAATAGTATTAGAGTTGTATTCAACCAATTGCAGGCTGCAAACACATACTCTGTTCATAAGGCAGTACAGTTAAAGACAAAACAAAGCAGATGAACTTACCATGGTGATTTTGGGTGTTAGTTAACACTGCAGCTGATGGAAGATGGTCTTTCTGCACTGGAAGACAACATGTAAGTAGTAAGAAGACTGTGAAGTAACTCTTAATTTATAATGTGAAGCACTGCTGTTGGACTAAATAATATTGAAAATGAGATTAATCACAGAGAGGACTTTGAGTAGCAGCTGCCCCTGTGATACTGTGATGTGTTTATAAAAACTACTCTGTCAAGAACTTTGAAAAATATATCAAGATTGGGAGCCATTGTTTCCATTGAGGAGGGTCTGCAATGCATTATAGATTACATTGGAGCACAAGCACCACCTACTGCAATACACTCTACTTTAATAAAATAGTCTGCTATGATAATCTGCATGTTTACATTTTTTTTAAAGAACATATTGACAGTTTGGGCAGTTTACGTGTATTTTGTTTGAATAACTTTGTATGTTTTTAATGATTTCCATACCCTTTATTCCTAAACCTTTCTGCTTGGTACACGTGGTTATCAAACATTAGAACTGCAAGACTTAAAATCCGTCAAGCTCGTCACTCTATAGAAACCACTTCTGGCTAATTACAAAATAAAAGGTAATGTAACGGCAAACAAACTAAAGCAATTAAATAAGAGGTTAACTTACACGTCTTGCCACTTAATAGATTTACATCAAAAACCTCTATCCACTGACACGAGTTAGGTGGCTAACGGGAATAACAGTTTATAGAGCTAACAATGCTACAGTGCTAGCAAACTATTTCAGGAGCATCAGTCAGTACCAATATTATTGTTAGCCCAGTCCTGAAGTGCGCTATTAAGCTGCCTCTATCGTCAAATGTCTCACAATTTGTCCGTTGTAGTTTCCATTTAAGATTGGCACTGGGACATTAGGGGAATATGGACCGATAATTGTCTCGAAATGCTTCAGTTCTCGACCACTCAATTTTTCGAAAGTACTCACCGGAAGTGTTAGCGATCTATCATGTCTGTAATGCCGCTGGCTTTATTCATTTTATATATTGCAGTTCCACATTTTGACCACGAGATGGCGCTAAAACTCTCGATTCTAATGTCTGCCCCAACGAAAGGGTGAAGATTACGGTTCAAAAAAGTGCTAGCTCGAGTACCCCAATTGCTCACGTGACGATCACCTAATCCCCATCATGGCTCACAAAAGAGTCTTTAGAATAAACCTTTATGTTACATGTATATTTATCCATGCAGAACATGTTTTTGTGTGACCATTTCAGTCGTTACGCTTGTGATAAACCTCTGTACATTGTTAGTAAATGAACTGGTGTAACTCCACTGATCTTTTCTTGAAGGCCAGAGAAAACATAATAAAACACCATATTGTCAAAGTATTATTTTAATCAGAACAATAACAAATCTCTGTTGTTCTGCAGATGAGGCTTCATTACTTCAACAGAATCAATACTGCTTTACAAAAACAAACCTATTAGACTTCATACACTCATTTTAGATTTTGTAAATTATTTACCATACATCAGTGTGTCTTCCACATAGTGATGGTAAATCACATAGTGCATAATATTCTCAATTCTTAACTAAGCCATGGCACAGGGAACAACATGTAGAATAACGAACACGGATGCATGAACCTTTTTGATCAGACACAAGAGGTACAGATAAAAGAGTTTGTACAGCATTGGATTCTCTTCAATCTCAAGAGGTACAACCTTTAAACTCTTTGATAACTATTGGAAGGCATTTTGGTGACAATTAAAACTATATATATATATATATATAAATTCCACCCTCCAGGCCTATAAGATCAAACCCTGCAGCATCTTATCTCTCTTGCTCTCAACTTTCTGGCTGTCTCCATTCAGGAGGTACAACTTTTTTTTTCTTTGAGATGGAAAACTACTGCTCAAGGCTTTTGAAGTGCACTCAAGATTAATTTGAACTGGAACAAGAAATTATATTGCTGTAGGCGGCAGTTTGTGACATAGAGCAGTTTTTCCCCTGACAATAAATATTCATATATTTTCCTTACAGGCACCTTAGAGGGACACATTTCAACGTTTAATAACAGAGTTTGGCGACGCTGCTGTTTGCTGCTTGTGTGCAGTTGGACAATGATGCGATTGACTCTTAATAAATATGACATAATCATTTCAAATTTGTTCTAGCTTCTGTTTGGAATATAATATATTGACACCATTTCCAAGTGTAAATCTGTACGGCTGGCGTGGATTGGTTGTGTGTTGTGTGCTGCTGGTGTCTATGTGTAGGTGCCACTTACCTTGTACAATGAGGTAGACCTGTGAGGTCTTGGGCTGCTGCTTCGTCTGTATGGAGCAGGTGTACGACCCTTCATCATAAACATCCACCTATACACAATCACAAATACAATATTGTGTTCATTAGTTTGAAAATATCTTATCATATGCCTGGCAGAGCATCTTATCCTCATTTATCTTCCTACATGTTACTTTTTCAAGATCCTACTCTATAATTTTTATTTTGACAAACATTCACAATATTCTCGAAATAAATATTTATGATTCTTCAGTGAAACAACGTTATACAGGAAAGTAGTCGAATTATCTCAATCAACTTTACAATATAATATGTTTTGATTATTATTAGGGCCGGGACTTTAACGCGTTAATTAAGATTAATTAATTACACAAAAATTAACGCGTTAAAAAAATTAACGCATTTTAATCGCACTTATTTTTGCACCGCGGAACGTTTCTCACTGGATGAGTTTCAGGCGTACCGATTATACTGGAGCACCAACTAACGTTCATGACTTCAGACAACAACAAACCACAGTGAACAACAGTGGGAAATGTTGTTTTAAAAAACGGACGGATGGAAGCGTCGATAAGAGCACGGTTGTGTGCAAATTATGCAAAAAGGAATTCGCATATCACCGCAGCACATCAAGCTTCAAGTATCACCACAATGCAAAACATATAGCAGCTAGCGTGGAAGCTAGCGTGGACGTTAGCCTCTTTTATCGCGTTCACACCAAAAAGAGCTGGTACTAAAATTAGTTCATGAGAACCTTTTTACCCCCACGAAAGTCCCTGCTAGAGAGCAGAGAGCTGCTAGAGAGCAGGGACTTTCGTACGGCTCTCTTGTGAGAAAAGAGCTATATGTCTGATTGGCTGGGCGGATTGCAAACCACGCCCCGTAAAACTCCCAAAAAGATTTGTGAAGCCGCCATTTTATTATCCTCGCATTAGCATTATTAGCATTAGCCCAGCGCAGAAACGCAGAGAGACTAACTTATGGCAACACAAAATAAAACATGGGAGCGGTGGAGATGAGGAGGTGTCGGCGTTCTGGCGATTTACTCGGAAGGCTGCTGGGACTCCCAGCAGCTTCTACTGAAGCCAGTCCCCAACTCCGGGGACTTCCGGCCGGGGACTTTGGGCGGCAGTATACGCCGTGAAGTGATTTGCGGCCTGCCAGTAAACCCAAAGCAGAAGAAGAAGAAGTGACGTCAGCGGTTTAATTTGCCTAATCCTCCCCCAGGTTCAAAGAGTTCTCATGAACTAAGTTCTCATGAACCTTTGTGGGAAAAGTACTGCGGTGTGAATGCGCCTAATGGTATACTAAAATCCATGTGAAAAAAATTGCTTCTCACTGTTCTTAGGTCAAATATTTATATGTGATTAAAAATGCGATTAATTTCGATAAATTAATTACAAAGCCTCTAATTAATTAGATTATTTTTTTTAATCGAGTCCCGGCCGTAATTATTATTAATGAATTCAACTTTAAGAAGTCAAAGCTTATAGACATGAGTAATGAATGATCATCATTACATAACAGATACGATCAGCATTTCAGCAGACCTCCCAGCATGGACAGTTTAGATGAGGTACTTAACCCTTTATGAAAACATGTATTATTTTTTAGTAAGACTTGCTGAACTGATAATCAATGAAAACGATAACTTTAACATTCTGGGAGGATAATCTCATGTACTGTCTAGCAGAGAGTGCATACTGATACCAGTCTAACATTAGTTTATTTTCAAATGATTATTTATTGTTGTTAAAGCACAAAAAAGGGTTAAAATTAATAGAAGAAAATACAAAAAACAGATATGCTTATGAAGGTTATGTTTAATATTTTTTAAATGTAATCCTAAGGAGGAGAAACAAATGGTTCTTTCCCATCTTTAAATGCAGCTGTTATTAAATCTAACGATGAAATCAAAGAATAAAAAAACCAAAACATTTTGGTCCGGTTTCTAAGTCAGTGTTACCTTCTGTATGCGCAGGCTGTACTCGAGCTGTCCTTTAGTCACCAGATCTACTCTGGGGTCCAGAGACCACTTGTCCTGGCCGGCATAGATGATGTTGGATCGATTGAGCCAGGCCACTTTGGACACTTTGTCATCCACATAACACCTGCAGGAACAAGAAGAACAAGTAGTGTTAAGGGAAGTTAAGTGAAATAAAAGCCGGGTTTACTTAAAAAAAGAAAGAAAATTACGTGACATCCTTCATTTCATAATATGTAAACTCAAAATCAAAGAGGATGTATAATTGTGTAGGAACTTATCTGCATCACAGTTCAGCTATGTTGTGGTTTAAACTGCTGAGTGTATTCCCTCAGTTAAGGTTAGTTAAGGTTTACAGACAACTTGGCGCACCTCTCATTCAGAGGTCTCAAAACAAGAGCTATGTCTTAACCTGTGTCTCTCTTCCTTATTTCTCTCTCTGATAAATACATCTCCTTTAACAGTCAGCATATTCCTGTGGATGAGGAAGGACACCAGTATGCTGTTGTTTACTCCTTGTTGCAGACAGTCAGAACATTACTCCAAGAAAGCTCGAGCTAAGACAACTCGCACAGGAGGCATGGTAGCCGGGCGTCTGCCTAATGAATACATGTAAATGTGAGAAGACGTCGGAATCAATGAGAAGGGATATCAGCCGTAATGCTAGCCGACAGTGGATGCGCCTCACATGCAAATTCTGGTGACTCCGGTAGACCAGGCTGTGCACATGGCTGTGTTGGGCCACAATGGAGCAGATTTGGGAGGCAGAGGAGTGAGGCTGTCTTTGGCAGGTGACCCCGGGTGATGCACACAAGTGGTGGTGCAGTCACCCCTGCCTGTTACCCAGTGGGAGCTGGATGTCAGGTTTGTTGAAGGCTTGTACTCACAGCTTGAATCCCTGTTGATGTTCCTTCCCTTTGTGTGGAGCCCAGATAACTCACTGTATTTATTGACTCGCTTTGACATCTACACTCTACTTTCTTCCCTCAGAAGTGAACAGCTTTAAAGGGATTTCCCTTTTGTTTCAGATATCTTCAAAGCTTTAATTAAAATACTTTATAGTTATATGCATCCTAATCTTATGCAGACACATTTTCCTATATTGATGGAGAGCTAGTCTTTATGAACAACAATAAAATAACGATAAAAGTTTGGACTCCAATGGACACATCGGAAATACTAAAATGGAGCCTGACTTACATTTTTTAAATCCATATACAGCATTTCATTAAACAAGTTCTTAGATTCAACCTCTGCAAATCACCCATGAAGGGTAGGCCCCTTTGGCGTAATCCAGAATGTGTCCTTGTATTCAAGTCAAAACATCGCTGCTTTTAAAGAAACAAACAACATATTTTTACCAACATTGAAAATGAGTACAAATATACACAGAACATGATGCTAAAATTGTCCTGCTAGATTCACAGGGACCTGAAGGAGAGCGGAACTTTGCCAGGCTTCCATTTGTTAATATTTATTTTGGATTCAACACCATGTAGCCTGTCATCCTCGCCAACAAACTGGTCACTCAAACACCCTGAAAACCAACACAAGCTCACTACAAGGGTGTTTTCCTATCCCTCCTCCTGTTCATGCTCTATGGTGACTGTGAAAGCATCCATCCAAACTGCCAACTCATTAAATGTTCTGACTACACAGCGCTTCTCTCAGGCTCTGAGCAGGAACACGGTTCTTCTCTATGATTTTAACGTTAAATGGTGCAACAATACAATGCTGGATTTCAATTTCACTCAGAGGTGGTGGTTGATTTCAGGATGCAGTCCAGACAAGGAGTTGGATGGTGTGAATATCTTGGAATCATCTTTGACATTTGAGCAAAACACAGAAGCCTTATCAAGAAAGCAAACCTGCATCCACATGCTTTCAAGAACTGAATTCCAAAAACCCTTCTACAGTTCTTCAGCGAGTACATTCCGTGTTTCTCCTTCACATGTTGGTTGCCATCACTCACTGTCATAACCAGAAACCGTCTCCATACCACAATTAACACCTGTTCCTAAAAAATCACTGGAGTGCAGATTACGAAGCCTCATTACTAGCTACCACTGCGTGTGCCTCACATGTTTTAATGTTGTGAGACTATGTGTGTCATCACAGCGTTAATTTGGCTCTCTGTTGAAAGTGGCTGTCACCTCAACAGCGCGCAAGATTCACAGTCACGGAATTTAACAGGTTTGTAGTTCAGATCAAAATGTAGAGCCAGTGCAAAGGTGAGCATGGCAGTGGTGCATATAAGTCAACGGAAAGGTAATGAGGAAAGGACCTACAATTTATGCCATGGCCTGAATTGGTATTGCGGGTGGCCTCTAGGTCTGTGAGCAGCAGGGAAAAGCCCATGACATCATGTAGGATAACACCCGTAATCTCCACCCACAGATCCAGATGCCTTCTTTCGTGGTGTAGCCTACGCAGTTTCTCTAGAAATGGGCACAGAGCTCTGTTCATTCCATAAGACCTCCGCTGGACTAAGGATCTCAAGAACAATAATTAGCTCGATCTGGATCTGCCATGTAGTCTTTTCCCCTACTTATTATTTAATTTATCATTATTCTTTTTAATAACGACCTACTTACTTTTTAATAATAATTGTACTATCAGCTCAACACTGTTCCATACAGCTATTTGCTTATAATTGTCTATAACTATTACTCAAGCCTAAAATGGGTTCGCTTTCTTGGATTTATGACGTTTATTGGATAAGGTGAATTGGAAGAGCCAGATGACCGACATGTATTCAGTCCAGTCTATGACACTGTCCTGCAGTGTGGGACAAGGGGTCAACATTGCATTTGTATAAACTTTCCCTCTAAACCAGTGTTTGCATATTTTCTTTATTGTAAGAGCCCTCTTGTACTAAAAGGGTTTTAACATTACCAGATTGTTTGTTATATAATTGTACGATGAAGCTGTTTTTAATTAGATTCATAACAAATCAATTGCTCACTTTGTGTAAAAGTTCTAATGCTGGGATTGATCATTCCACAACTCATTAGCGACAAAGCCCTACATTTGTGAAACACAAAGTGACAAGTTTAACAGCTTTTAGGGGATGGCACTAAACTGTCCAGGCTGACTGTACGGCTGCATCTTGTTGGTTTTCAATGAGCTTGCTTCCTTTCTCCCCTTATTATCTCCTGTCTCCCACCGTGAAGTAAATGGGAGGAGGTTAAAAAACGAAAGCACGTAAGTGAAGGACAGAGAGAGGAGACGTGAACAGAATCATGACACCAGTTTCCTTTGGTTGTCTCTTTCACAAACATACATTATACTTAATAAAGCATTTTGATCGTTTACATTTCTTAATATTATGTATTAAACAGAATTGCGTCGCTAGGCAACAGCATGGGTCCATTCTTACTTCCTGTCAGCTGATGCATTCGCTGACATCAGCAAATGGAACCTTCAGATTGATGACATCATCTTTGCCTTGATGCTTTAGAAGTTTGCAGGTCTCAGCTGTGACGGTGAATTCATCAGAGCGTCAGAGCATCAGTCAGAAGGCAGAAGGAACTGTTCCAGCTAGTGTCAGATCATTGCAGAAATAGGTTTTGTAGCAAGCTAACATTAGGTAGACTTGCACGTCTATTTTAACGAGATCATCTAAGTGAACTCCATTTTTGTGGCTTTAATTCAGTTGAACAATTATATTCAGTTTGCTTAACAACAGGTCATTTCATCACCGCAGTAGAGATGGAGATGAACAATAGAGATGAGATGGAAGTCAAGCTCGAGATTCTGCAAAAATAAAATCAGGAAATCAAGTTGTTGCTGGAGCAGGAAAGGACTTTAAGGAATAAGCTTGAGATTGAAGGCGCTAAGAAGAAGGAAGCGATGCTGAAAGCATATACAGAGAATGCAGCTGAGCTATCTGGGCAAAATGTGAATGTGAAAGTCCAGAAAATTGAGCACAACGTCTTGCGCGTCAACAATGAGGAGCTGAACATGAAATACGGAATGCTCCAGAGGTCACACAAGAAGGTCGAAGCAGAGATGGCTGCCTTGAGAAAGGCAAACGCGGGACTCAAACAACTGAAAAAACTCTGTGTTGAGGAGAACGCTGTAGAGATGGCTTCTTTGCGTGAGAGAAACCAGGAACTCCAACAACAGAAGGAGCGCTGTGTGGTGGAGAAGGATGCAGCAATAGCTGCCTTGCTGAAGGAAAACCAAACACTGAAACAAGAGAAGGAGCATTGTGTGGAGAAGGAGGCGAAGGTGGACAAGAAGGAAAATGAGGTGAAGGTGGAACCAGAAGTGAGGCACAATGTTCAAGTGAATGCCCTGAAAATTGAGCAGAAAGTTTTGCGCGGAAACTATGAGGAACTGAACATGAAATATGAAAAGCTCCTCAAGATGCACGCGAAGGACAAAGCAGAGATGGCCACCTTGCAAAAGGCAAACCAGGAATTCGAACAACAAAAGGAACGCTGTGTTGAGGAGAAGGATGCAGAGATAGCTGCCTTGCTGAAGGAAAACCAAACACTGAAACAAGAGAAGGAGCATTGTGTGGAGAAGGAGGCGAAGGTGGACAAGAAGGAAAATGAGGTGAAGGTGGAACCAGAAGTGAGGCACAATGTTCAAGTGAATGCCCTGAAAATTGAGCAGAAAGTTTTGCGCGGAAACTATGAGGAACTGAACATGAAATATGAAAAGCTCCTCAAGATGCACGAGAAGGACAAAGCAGAGATGGCCACCTTGCAAAAGGCAAACCAGGAATTCGAACAACAAAAGGAACGCTGTGTTGAGGAGAAGGATGCAGAGATAGCTGCCTTGCTGAAGGAAAACCAAACACTGAAACAAGAGAAGGAGCATTGTGTGGAGAAGGAGGCGAAGGTGGACAAGAAGGAAAATGAGGTGAAGGTGGAACCAGAAGTGAGGCACAATGTTCAAGTGAATGCCCTGAAAATTGAGCAGAAAGTTTTGCGCGGAAACTATGAGGAACTGAACATGAAATATGAAAAGCTCCTCAAGATGCACGAGAAGGACAAAGCAGAGATGGCCACCTTGCAAAAGGCAAACCAGGAATTCGAACAACAAAAGGAACGCTGTGTTGAGGAGAAGGATGCAGAGATAGCTGCCTTGCTGAAGGAAAACCAAACACTGAAACAAGAGAAGGGGCATTGTGTGGAGAAGGAGGCGAAGGTGGACAAGAAGGAAAATGAGGTGAAGGTGGAACCAGAAGTGAGGCACAATGTTCAAGTGAATGCCCTGAAAATTGAGCAGAAAGTTTTGCGCGGAAACTATGAGGAACTGAACATGAAATATGAAAAGCTCCTCAAGATGCACGAGAAGGACAAAGCAGAGATGGCCACCTTGCAAAAGGCAAACCAGGAATTCGAACAACAAAAGGAATGCTGTGTTGAGGAGAAGGATGCAGAGATAGCTGCCTTGCTGAAGGAAAACCAAACACTGGAACAAGAGAAGGAGCATTGTGTGGAGAAGGAGGCGAAGGTGGACAAGAAGGAAAATGAGGTGAAGGTGGAACCAGAAGTGAGGCACAATGTTCAAGTGAATGCCCTGAAAATTGAGCAGAACGTTTTGCGCGGAAACTATGAGGAACTGAACATGAAATATGAAAAGCTCCTCATAGTTTTGCGCGGAAACTATGAGGAACTGAACATGAAATATGAAAAGCTCCTCAAGATGCATCATAATGACGAAGCAGAGGATCTCAAACAACTGGAAGAACCTTGTGTTGAGGAGAAGGATGCAGAGATGGCTGCCTTGCAAAAGACAAACCAGGAACTCAAACAAGAGAAGTTGCGTTGTGTTGAGGTGAAAAATGCAGAGATAGTAGTTTTGCATGAGAGAAATCACGAACTGGAACAACAGAAGAAACGCTTTTTTGATGAGAAGGATTCAGAGATAATGACTTTGCTTGAGAGAATCCGTGACCTCCAACAAGTGAAAGAACTTTGTGTTCAGGAGATAGCCGCCTTGAAAACACCACGGTCAAGAAGATTCATTAATTTCCTTTCTAGTATCGTCCCAGATGTCCCAGACGACTACCAAGAAGGCAGCCTTGACAATGAAACTTTAGAAAAAATGATAAACAACAACAACAATTAGTAAGACATAAAAACATTTCCAGAACAGACTAAAGCTCAAAATGAGTGAGCAATAACATATAATAACATTCAGTCAGGATATATATTTAAACAGTTAACATTTATTAGATCAATTTATTAAACATCAACAAAGGTTCCAGAAGATACTTAAGCGGCTCGAGTATCGTTAGTATAGTATAGTAGTAGTAATAGTAGTAGTATAGTAGTAATAGTATCGTTTTTTTTAGGCTAGAGTCTAACCTCTAGGGGCAAAACAATTACCTTCATTTTAAAATTCCTTCGCTTCTAGCACTCCTAAAAAACAGGAAAAGGGTAGCAAAATAAAGATCTGGTTAAATTTAAAAGGTCACCCAGAACATACTGTAGGCGATTTCAAGCCATTACAGTTTTTAAAAAAACCTGATCCATTACGCATACAAATAAATCCAGTAGAGACTTAAGCGGCTAGAGTATCGTTAGCATAGTAGTAGTAATAGTAGTAGTATAGTAGTAGTAGTAGTAGTAGTAGTAGTAGTAGTAGTAGTAGTAGTAGTAGTAGTAATAGTATAGATTTTTTTAGGCTAAAGTCTAGCCTCTAGGGGCAAAACAATTACCTTCATTTTAAAATTCCTTCGCTTCTAGCACTCCTAAAATACAGGAAAAGGGTAGCAAATTAAAGATCTGGTTAAATTTAAAAGGTCACCCAGAACATACTGTAGGCGATTTCAAGCCATTACAGTTAAAAAAAAAACCCTGATCCATTACGCATACAAATAAATCCAGTAGAGACTTAAACTCACAGTGATTGTGCAGCAGCGACGTGCAGTCAGGGGAGGCAGAGCCTCACCTGTCATACTCATAGACTGGCCATACTACAATGTAACGGAAAAACAACTAAAGAAAAACTAAATAGTAATACTAATAAAATGTCTCCACTGATCTGTGTTGTAAATGTGATTTCTGTTTGATTCCAATCGCTTTTTATAGTCAAAATCAGCAAATTTGCCAAGCTCCGCTACAACTACATGGGAGCGATGAGGAGTGAGGCAGGGACGAGCTCTGCCTCACGTAAGCCCACAGTAACTTGCTGGAGCGCGGGCACTAATTTAGCGCGGGCACTTATTTTGTGAGCGCGCTCAAGCCAGTTACTGTGTGGTAAGGTGAGGCACAGCTGAGATCTGCCTCACCTCAAAATGCGTCACCTCACAGAAACTGGCTGGAAAGCGGGCCCTAAGCGCATGCCTGTTACCATCTCACTGTAGGTCACCAATGTAATGTTTGTAGATCCCTTTATTACATTTATCCTCGCCATCCATAGTCTCTAAATAACTTATTTCACGTATATATGATATTTAGGCTCGCCGTACAACGGCAATGAAAAAAGCACCAGGGGAGGCAGCCATAACCTCTGCCGCATTGCTGGATGCTCATCTGCATTGAAGTGTTCAATGTAATCACATAACTTAACATGTCTGTGATGTATCTGATACGTAGGTTGTAGCTCTTTCTCTATGTGTGTCTGTACATTTGTGTGTGTCTGTACATTTGTGTGTGTGTGTCTGTGTGGGAGGGTATGCACGTCGTTAATCATGAGGACAGTTCTCTGCATCAACTTCAGCTCAAACTGTAGCAAGCACTTCACTCCACAAATAATAAACGGTATCATGAGCACTAGGAGCTGTTACTTTATTGATCTTTACGTATTTGCATGCAGTTATTCTGAGACTGAGGACTGAAGAGCGATAAGAGCAGAGCTAGCCAAAGTTGAGGTGTATTGTTTCAAAGAAAAACACCTCGATGATGAAGTAGATCCGTCTTAAAAGTGAGTAGAACTTCACTTCACTAAACCCTTTTGATTTATGAGGCTTGTTTGCTGGTATTTCCGTAGAGGGGCTGGATTAAGACTTTTTTTAGGACCCTTAACTCAATTGTGTAGCTTGTGTTTTGTTGTGTTTATTTAGAGAGCTTTCTCAAACTCCACCAATTTTTAGACAGAGATCAGTTAAATAAGTCCTTCTTACAGTTGTTTGACCTGATGAACTTCAAATGACAGCTAACAGTCAAATGTGCTAAATCACTTCGAATATTAAAAATCATTATTAACATCAATCAATCAATCAATCAATGTTTATTTATATAGCCCAATATCACAAATGTTACATTTGTCTCAGTGGACTTTACAGTTTGTACAAAATATCAGTATGACAATACGACACCCTCTGTCCTTAGACCCTCACATCGTACAAGGAAAGACTTCCAGAGAAAACCCACAGTTTAAAGGGAAAAATGGGAGAAACCTCAGGGAGAGCAACAGAGGAGGGATCCCTCTCCCAGGACGGACAGACGTGCAATAGATGCCGTGTGTAAATTGAAAAGATAATACATTTGCAACATAGGTAGTCCAAATGTTTGGAAATGCATGTGTGTATAATAGGAAGATGAATCCACGAGGATATCCATCCAGGACCTATGATCCAGGACCACAGCCACGACTCAAGATCCAGGGCTCGCGATCCAGGACAGAGGAGCGCAGGATCATCCATGA